ATACAATATTAAAAAGAAAAATTAAATTTAATTATACATTTTTAAAATAAATTTAATATTTTCTTTTTCACATTTATAATTTAATGATTTTATATAATCTTAAATTAAATTTTTAAATTTAATTAATGATTTAATTTTTATTAAAAAATAAAAAATAAAAAATTTATATTTTAGTTAATTTTTTTATAAGATTGTGTACTTCAAAATCTGTAATTATATAACATGATTGAAATAAATTTTAAATTACACATTTTTAACTACACAATCTAATAAAAAATTAACTAAAATATTAATAAAAAATAAAATCTTTAATAAAATTAAAAATACTCAATTTGAAATAATATATATATTCTTTGAATTACAAATCTGAAAAAAACATTAATTTTGTTTTAAAAATATATAAATCTTAAATTTATTTTTTAATATTGTATAAATAACTGTTTAATATATATACACCCAACATGGTGTTTGTTCTAGTGGTTTGACGCTCTTAGGTTTTTAATGTTGTAGGTTTAAATCTAGAGCCGTCTCGAACATTTTTAGGGCTGGAGTGAAAACTCAAAACTAAGTCCTTATAGAACAAAAGTATATTCTATTACTTTAAACAATTAGTTTAATATCAAAGAAAAATGATTGAACTTGTTCGATCATTAGTTTCATTGTTTTGTTAAGAAAACACCTTAAATACGACTAAGAGAATAAAAAATTGAATGTGGGTATGAATTATGATATGAAGCTTGATTTTTAATAATAAATTAAAAAATAAAGAATAACATATTATGTTATCGTAGATTCAGATTAGAGAAGACTAAGAGTTAAAGAATGTTTGGTAAATTGAAAAAGAAGACTTGTAAAAAAAGACAAATATTATTAGATTTAAGTTAAAATTAAATGAACTAACGAGAGATATGGAGAAAGGAGTGAGAAATAGAGAAATTTATGAAATTGAAAAAAATAGAGGCATTAATTATAAAGGCAGAAATTGAGATTGAAAAAATTAGGGGCCTCAATTATAAACGTATAATTGAGATTGGAAAAAATTAGGGACATCAATTATAAAATAGAAAGTGAGATTGAAAAAAGGGCCTCAATTATAAAGTTAAAAAAGCGAGATTAAAAAATTAGGGACCTCAATTATAAGAGTGGAAATTGAGATTGAAAAAACTTAGGGGCCTCAATTGTAAAGGTAGAAAGTGATATTGAAAAACTTAAGGGCATCAATTATAAAGTTAAAAAGTGGGACTAAAAAATTATGGTCTCAATTATAAAGGTAAAAAAAGAGATTAAAAAATTAGAGACTTCAATTGTAAAGATAAAAATTGAGATTGGATAAAATTAGAACATCAATTATAAAAATAAAATAATAAAAATTAAAAATTAGCTATATATATACGTATGTATGTATATATAGTGTTGTGTAAATCATAATACGTGTTGGCTCAGTGTTTAGGCGTATGTATTTTCTTCCCACGGTCCCAAGTTTGACTCCCTCTAACCATTTCCCATGGTACGATATTGAAGATAAATATGGAAATAAATTTAAGTTATGGAAAAACATTTAATCTAATGGTGGTATGTCACATTAATACTTTTGTTAAATATTAACCGATAAGTGGTTTGAATGATATAATTTAAATAGTCTAATGGTGAGATTTATAAAACTAAAAGATCGATGATAAAATTTAAAAATTTAAATAATTAAATGATCAATGATATAATTCACGCTATTTATTAATCTACTTATAATCGTCCGTTAAATATATTTTCGCATTAAATATTTCTTTCATCCGCATCCAGATCAAGACACAATCTACTAATACTAAGGTGTCAAGTTTTAAATTATGATAATATATATCATTAATCTCTGTAGCTATTACTCTGGTAAGTTTTTATATGGTGAAATAAAGGAAATGTAACCTCTTTTAACCACTAAATACATCAAATTTCCCCTACAAGACCAAATTTTCAATAGCAATGGATTTTTTTTAAGGTTCAATGGCAATGGATTGAGTATACAAAAAGGGAACCTTCTACCCTCTTAATTGTTCATGAAGTTTGTAATTAATCAAAAGACATAGTATAACAAAATAACCCTAACGTTTGACAGTGATGTCAAACTTATCTGTATTGTTTTTTGGAACATTTGATCTATTAACGTTTCATTTTGAGTCAAAAAACACCTTCGTTGGATGAAACCGTTAGTCAACAAATAGTCAAATCCGATGATGACGAAGCATGTACGCGTGGAGGAAAAAGCTGATGTGGATGTCGATGTCGATTTCATGGTGCTCGATGATAAGGCACTGCACATTAGATTTTTTATAAAGTAAAAAAATTTAAAATTTATTATTAAAATTTATATTTAATTATTTGTTACTAATCAGAGAGTGACACATGTCACTCTTTGATTGGCGCTTGTTTAATAAAACTATTAAAAGCTTTCATTTTCAGTAATGACACTCACTTCTTCTTCCCAGCTATCAGCACTGCCATTACCACTATGCTAAAACCTCATCTCCAATCTCCAAAAGAATCCACCACTCTTTTTCCCTCCCTCTTCACCTCATCATCAAAAGTCCTTTCATCAGCAACTCCCAGTACAAATATCAACCCTTTATCAACACAAAATTCGATTTTCCTCAAACGGAGGACTAAAGTTTCATTATTTTCTGGGTTTTTCACACAAGAGAGAGATGTGAAGTGCTTCAAAGGTGAGCTTTTTTTTATGACATAGCACCTCTCGATCGTCATAGGATCGAGAGCGTGTGGATCAGGTTAATTATGATAAACCCTTTTTTGTTTTCTTCATGAAAATCAAGTGATATTCTTTGTTTGTTCTTGCTTGTTCATCAATGGGGTTTCTGTTGTGAATCAGTTTACACTCAAACTCGAGACAGTGAATGAGGTAAAGGAGCCTCTTGAATCCAAATTGTTAAATGGAAAATAAGAGCTTTTGTACACAACATCTAAGTTAGTTCTCTTTAACTTTTTTTTTTTTTGAAAAAAATTCATTTTGGATCATCAAAATATCTATGCTCTTGTACAACAGAGGCCAGAGTTCTTGAGACCCAATGGAAAGATCTACTGATGATGAGTCGGTGAATCACTATTTAAGTAGGAAATGTGCATCTAAGCCTATCGATGTCCCCATTATTGCTGAGATCGATCACTACAAGTTTGATCCATGAAAGCTTCCGGGTACACTTTTCTCTTTTCTTTCGTGGTTTTATAGCATATGGGATTCAATTCATATTTTCTCGGGATTCCATTGATTGATTTTAGTATAAGAACACTTGTTTCATTTTTTGTTTGTAATTTGGGATAAATGCATTAACTTTTTGGTTTCTGTTTGATTTATGGATTTTTCCGAATTGAAATTGGGATCATTTGAGGCACTGATTAATTGATTTTGGTTTCTATTTGGTTTATAGATACGACGTTGTACGGTAAAAAAAGTGGTATTCTTCTCACCAATGGACATAAAATACCCAAATGGAAGTCGATCGAACTGGGGGGCCAGAACAGGATACTAGAAGGCAAATTTTACAATTTTATATTTAAGCCAATGAAATGATGACAGTGTCATCTTTGTATTGGTTGAAAATTATTAAAAAAATTAATATAATTATTTTTAAAAAAATTAATTTTTACTAATGTGATATTTGCCATGTCATCATCTTTGTGTATGTGGCTTTACAACGTTAACATGCGATGTTAGGTAAGCTTGCCATGTCATCTCCACGCGTTGACCGTTAGTTGACTAACGGTTTTCATCCAACGAGGGTGTTTTTTGACCCAAAATAAAACATTAAGGGGTTAAATGTACCAAAAAAATATGGATAAATTTGACACCAATGTCAAATATTAAGATTATTTTGTTACATTATGCCTAATCAAAACATGACAAAGGTGTGTTGTGAAACAAGATAAATGTCTCTAACTACTGGTTTATTCCTTTCCAGTTGTTCTTCACATCTTACATTGTTAATTTGCCAACAAATCTTCAAATGTTTTATGCTTAATACTAAAATAAGTGTCTAAACTATACCCTAAAACCTAAATAGGTGCCTAAACTAATTTTCGTCTCATCCAAATGCCTATCGTTACAGTCGTTACCCGTTTAGGTGCCCGGGCCGTCAACGACATTAGTTTCTGCCGTTAAGTGACACGTGTCACAATATGGTAATTTTGAAATTTATTTTTTTAAAATAAAATATTAAAAAATATGACATTTATAAAAAAACTAAACATTTATAAAAAAACTAACTTTCCTTATATTATAAAATAGCCCCAAAATCCCAAATTCAAACCTTAATCTGCCGTCGCCGCCTTTCCGGCCACGATCACCACTACCGACGTAGTCCATGCCATCCTCCTACTCATATGCCGTCATATTTTCCTTCGACCGTTAGAATATATCGATTTTAATCCTAGGGTTTGAATGATTTAAAACGTTGATTCGTCGTCGATCGATCACGATTTTATGGGAGGTTTTAGTCGTCGGGAGGAGGGGAGGTCGAGTGGAGGCTCGTCGACGGTAAAAGGCGATGACCCACGTGGATTTAGGGGTTGAAATAAAGGTTTTTAAAGTTTTGGGTTTATTTCAAAATTTGTATTTTCTATTTTTTTTATAAAAATATATAATTTTTAATTTTAAATAAATTTTTTAAAATTACTAAGTTGTAACACGTATCACTTAACAGGAAAATTAACACCGTTATCCACCCAAACACCTAAATGAGTAATGTTTGTAACGTCAGACACCTGATTAAGACGAAAATTAATTTAAGCACCTATTTAAATTTTAGAGTATAATTTGAATACTTATATTGGTATTAAGTAAATTTTTTATTTCAAAGTTTGAGTTTTATTCTTATTGATTTTCCTTTTAAAAGTCCAATTTTTTATTTGTTTAATGTATAAAAGTTACCCTGAAACCTTAATAAAAGCAGCCTGTCTTCAACGTTCTCTACTCATCCCTCTCCATTAGGGTCCCTCTCTTTTACATCTCTGCTAAGCAAATCTTTTACACTCCTCCTCTGTTTTCCCCTGTTATTTCCCCCTGTTTTTTTGGTCATAGCTGAGCTTATGGATGATGCCGAGTTTTGGCTGCCGGCCGAGTTTTTAGCGGACGACGATGGGATTATGAAGAAAGGGAACCTTAAGAACGAAAACGATGGAAAAACCGGAACTGAGTCGTGGGCATCTAGTCATGGTTTCCCCTCTGAGTTGCCTTACGAGTTTGACTCGTTCGGCTCGGTCTCAGCTCTGAGCTCCCCTGTTGAATCCGTTGTCGAGTCGACGGAGACTGAGAGCAGTGACGAGGATGAGTTTCTCGCTGGATTGACTCGCCGTCTCGCTTACTCCACGAGTCAGAAACTCACTGTTGCCACTCTTTCCTCGGACAAAAACGAGGTATATAATAATTTGCTTTTTCGTTTTCTTGAGCAGAGTTAGTCGTGGTTCAGCTTTTAAATACGGTTTTCTTTCTTAAATTTAGAAAAACGGAGCTTTGGCGAGTTCACCAAGGTCGACTCTGAGTGGACTCGCGTACTTGTTATCTTCAAGCAACAATAGCCCCATTGGACCTTCTCAAGTTCCATCTCCGTCAACAACACCATTCTGTGCTCAAAACGACACTTGGGATCTCATTTATACCGCAGCTGGTCAAGTTGCAAGGCTCAGATTGAGCAATGAAGTCCCCAAATACACCAACTTCAGCCATGGTTACATGTTGAAATTATTAGAACTCGAGTGGCGGATGTTTGTTCTTGCTAGAGATTTCCGGAATCGAACAACTGCGTTTGTAGGTTTTGTCATATCATTTTTTAGAAAGTGAAGTTATTTCTTTCGTTTTTAGGGCTCATTAGGTTGTTTTCTCTGTGTTTTTGGTTAGTTTAATGGAAGACAAGTGAAGGCGAGTAACTGGCAAGCACAAGTTCAACAGCAGCTGCAGCTGCAGCAGCAGCAGATTCAGGGTAGGATAAGGAATAATGTTGTAGGGGGAAGACCATTAGGGTTGCCTCAATCTTCATGGCCACCACTTCAAGTTCAGTCCCAGCCAAAGCAGCTTCAGAGTCAGAACCACCCTGGTTCCGGCATGAGACCAATGTTCATCCACGGATCCAGAGGCGTTAAACGAGAGTGCGCCGGTACCGGTGTCTTCATCCCTCGTAGATACAACACCAACACCAACACCAACACCAACACCAACACCAACACCAACACCAACACCAGCACCAGCACCAGCACCAGCACCAGCACCAGCACCACTACTGAACCTAGAATGAAATCAGGTTGCTCGACAGCGTTACTTCCAGCAAAGGTTGTCCAAGCGCTAAATCTCAACTTCCCTAATACCAACAACCGTCACGTTCAGCCTCGATTCGATCCAGGTTTCGCATCAAGCTATGGTAAGTGTTAACCCCACCGTGTCTGGTTTGTTCAGAATCAACGTTATAATTAAAAACCATGCTTACTGAGATTCATAACGTTCCAACTTTGCAGATGCATTGGTAGCAAGAAGAAATGCATTGTTGACACAAGCAAGAAGAAATTACAGACAAGAAGGAAGCCTAAATCTACCTCAGGAATGGACTTACTGATTTTTTAGATTAATGGTTGTTTTGTTGGGAAAATGGTAGTGATAGTAGGATTTAGGTATATGGTAGTATTTTGCTTTATTATTATTATATGTATGTAAAGTAAGAATTCAAGAATGTGATGTAGTTTAGAAAAATTCAAGGAAATAAGAGTGTTTAAGTTAACAAATTCTGGGTTTTTTTTTTTTTTTTTTTTAAGTATTCAAGGAGATTTGAAGATTGCAGCCCGTGGATCAACTACAGGAGCAAAAAGTAGGGGAAGAGATGGTTCTTATTTGTTGTAATAAATTTTATTTTTTAGTTTTGAATTTAATGGGGGCAATTGGATTTTGTCTTTGAAATTTTGGGGGGAAAAGGAATAAAATTACATTATCCTCTTTTGTAATATGCCATTTGGAAGTTAATACATATACATGTATATATATATATATATATATATATATGTATTATCATCAGCTTATGATTTATTATTCTATTAATTTTGAAGAAGATATTATAATAGTTTATCACGAAATTGATTCTTTTAATTCAATTTTCTCTGTTGATATCATTCAAATTCTAATCAAATCTCTAAAGCATCAGTGTTACAACAGTTAAGTTCACCCTTAAATCTAACCATTCGTCGATCATTAAATGTTAATTTAGAATATAATTTAAAACACTTGAATTAAATTTTATATGCATTTGCACGTGTAGCATGGAAAATTTAGATACATAACAGGATGACATAGACGAAGGAACTATCTAATGCGATGTTAATGATTTTTAGAATAGATATTGTTTTATAATTATCTTAATTAAATAAAAAATAAATTAAATTAAAATATTTTAAGTTTAAAAATCAATTTATAATATAAAAATATATTTGAGTACATATTGTGCAATTAACCTGAATCAAATAAGACTACTTTTATCACATATAAAAAGTAAAAGCAGAAAAGCAAAGATGAAAACTTGCAAGCTTTGCTTCAACGTGAAGTAGCGGCGGTGGGAACAATGGAAGTATTGAAAGTGATAAATATTAATTTTTGTTATTAAATTTTATACATATTTTGAATATTAATATAGTATTTTTTTTTTTGTTTTGAAAATGTAGTTTTTTGTATGATTTATTAAAAGCATACAAAAACATTTATCGGGGTCTCATTAAAAAATCACTTTAAACCTAAATAGAAGAAAAAGAGTGTGCCGTAATTACGTAAGCGAATCACAAACAATCACAAAGGGACTAACTTACCTATCTAACCTGACCACACACCAAAGTAAAACAAAAAAAAAACCTGGATAAGAGCCTTCTACCTCACCCAAGATCACCCGAAACAAATTCAAAACTGCATGAACACTGCACTCAGAAGTAGCCCAGCCGAACAAAATGGTGGAAGGAACGCTTTCCAATGCACTCAACACCACAACGAACCAACGTGCACCCTCTAGAAGCTTAACAAACACGAACCCACCAACACTCCACAGCAGCGACTTTACTATATTCAGGCACTTTGATAATCCACAATAGACTTTCGAGCAGCTTTTCACCTGAGACCACAAATAACTCCCAAAAAAACTAGCACTGAAGCCCTCTCAATTAGGCACCCTCCACCACACCCAATGTGGAAAACCAACGTCCCTTCATGAACCTTATATGGAACGAAACATAATTAAAACTAGAACAGTGGAGACATCGACACCTTCATCTGCACTACTACTCGCTAATGTACATTAAAGCACCACAAGCATCATCTCTACTGCCCACGATTTTGAATGACCATACACATCAACTAAAGCACCCATTGGAACCAACTCATTCTTTGCCATGGGACTAGATTATGAAGCGATAAGACTATTAACTTTAAACCGCAGAATTGCAATGGGATATACACACTCCATCAATTTATCACAGAGAAAGCAGTAATGCCTCACCCTTGAGCACTTTCCACCACACCATATAGGAGCAAGGTGAAAGAATGGATTCCCACTTAAGTAACGCACCTTGAAGTCGATAGAACAAAACAACAGCAGATAAAAATAGCACCCCGCAAAAACTCTTGCCTCCCAAAAAAAAGGACCGGTCCAATAAAAAATCACCATCAATGCCAAAAGGACCACCACAACCAATTTTCCTCATCCAGTAACCAGGATCTCTGCAGCTTACATCCAAGCTAAACATTCCAAGAACATTAATCAACTAACAAAACCATAACCACACAAAACCACCACATCCGAATTAGCATTACAAAATTAATTTTAACTAGGAACACTGATAAAATTAGGGGAACGCACATAATCCAAAATGGAAGCACAGCAGAACGGCCAATTACTTTTGCACCAAAAACCCAACCTCAACATAGCCAGTTCATATAAGTACCCGTTGCTAAAACTTTTTTTTTACTATAAAGGATTTCGTTTCGGCACAGCCAAATGGTCCATATCACAGCATAGAATGCCATTCTCCACACCGACTTTGAGAATGCTTTTATTGGTTGATTTACCCACAGCAGGATAAAATCTCGAACATTACCAGGAATCACAAGATTAATTTTCCACTGCCAACATAACCTTTGCCAAATCCCCCACACTATCGGACAATGAAAAAGAAGAAGATGAATAACTGATTTATTCTCCTCACGACACCATACACATAAAGGTGGATCAGCAACCGCCACTCCCCTAGCCGCTAATTCAACAATCGTCGGAATTCTTAGATGGACCACATTCCATACAAAAGCTTCAGCTTTAGGCGGAGCTAAGTTATCCCAAATTAACTTCCAACACCTATCCTCCTCGGATCCACTTCGATAAAGGCTCTCATAGAAATTTTTGGGGAGTAAACTCCCGATGAGACCCCGACCATAGTAATCTGTCAGTGCCCAAGCCACACTTCTTTGCTCTATTTAAAACATGGATGAACTCATCCCAAATTCTATGTTCCCAAACGAACAAATTTCTTCTTACTTCAATTGACCACAACCACTCTCCATCATGAAGAAGACCAAACTCCGGAACCTTGCCCTTTTTATTTGCTGCTTCCCTTTATCTTCGCATCAAATCATCAACTTCATTGGCAATGAGAGAACAGTCTGCAATTTTCTTTCCTGCCATAAAGGCGAACTACGTTTCCCCCACTGCGTCGTTTATACACGTGCTCAATCTTTTCGATAGAATCAGTGCCAGAATTTTGTACACACTTCCTACTAATGAAATATGTCGAAATTCATCAATACCCTTGGGGGAGCCATTCTTAGGAATTAGTGTGATGTACGAGTGATTAAAATTACAATCTGACAGCTTCTCTTTGTAGAACTCAGCCAAGAAGCCCATTATATCAGATTTTAGAAACTGCCAAAATCTCTTAAAGAAATCTAGATATTAAACTAATTAAATTGAATAGTAATATATTATATTATATTATATTATATTAAATTTATTTAAAAATATACTGTTGCAAAATAAAACATTAGTATTGATAAGGAAAACTAATTCAAACGAAGTAGATTAAATCATAGTTATATCGTGGAAGAATCATTATCTTAAATAAATTTGTCTTAATTGATGTAATCATTGAAATAAACGTACCTTTAAGATTAATATAGCTCTTCAATATTAGTAAACCCAAATATTAGGGTAGAAATCAATTGATACTACTATTCATATGTTTTGTTTATGAGTGGATTATTAACCAATTACTACACCACCATTCATAAGAAGTAGAGCTAAAGCAAAGCCAAGACTTTACGAGTTAATGAACATTTTTTTGGTTTAATTATAGTTTCAGCCCCTTTACATTAATTCGGCATAACTGGAGCATTAAATTGATGCCATGAATCCTTTTATTGTTATTCATCTACACAATTAGGGTCACTTGGAAATTCAGTTAATTATATCCATCCAACAATAGATTTATATGTCGATCAAATGTTGAATTGTTTTCTATTTCATTTCATCACTTTAATGGTCGCAAGTAATGTCTGGAAACGGTATGAAGTTAATCAACTATTAATTGGTCTAGTGAGATGAGTTGTTAGATCTTTTAAAAAGGTTAGAGGTTCGAATTCCGACGTTGTGAATGAAAAATTAGATTGTAAGAATTGTTCTCACAATGAATCTTTACAATACTTGATTTGAAAAATGACATAAATTGAGGCAATTATTTCAATATTTGGGGCATGGTCCTATACATTCTTATAAGATTGCAAAAACCTCTTTTGCTTACAGTATGGATTGATCCATTCAGAAAATTGTTTTGAAAGTAAAGACAATCAAAGATTCAAAGAATGAAAAATTCGATAGAGTTGTCAGCACATGGTGTGCTCCAAATCTTTTCAAATAAATAAAGGAGGCGACCCTCATGAATGTCAATCTTGGGTACATGTCCAGTGTCCTTATTGCCGGGGAATTCTTTATCAAAATTCTATTTTTTTAAGACATCTAGATAAATTTATGTCCTATACGTTCAAAATAAATAATATTTTCTTACAAATAGTGATTACTTCAGATTGGAAATATATACAGATTTATTAAGAGATTAATTTTTTTAAATTGAGATTTTCTCATTCACAATGTATAAAATTGGACTTTTTATCTTTATTTAAGGGATTTAAGTATAAAATAGAAAAATTGATTAAATTTAAAGTTGGGTTTAAACTCTAACGAGATGAGGTGTTAGATCTTTTAAGTTTGGTAAACAGTCGTCTGGGCCTGGTCACTGCGACCCCCTTTGTGAGGAGGCACCCCTTCTCCCGAAGTTGCGGGGCTATTTTGCTGAGTTACTTAGAGAGAGTTGTCTTGCGCCTCCAGGTATTCTCTACCTACTCACCCGATGATTTTTTGAAAAATGAACTGAATTAATTGATTCATAGAATATATTCTTCGATAGTATCTATCGAGACTTTCAAGGTTAGAGGAAAAAAAAAGGAATCACTCAATTGGATGACACAATATATATTTAATATTTATATTTCTTATTTTGGTTGTCCATTACTTATTATATTTTATATTCTACTTATTTAGTTTAGAGTTTCGAATCACGTTGTGAATGAAGAAATGGGTTGAAAAAGTTGCTCCCATAATGAGTTTTTATATTACTTAATATGAGTTGATTGATGACTCTAAGAAAAAAGAGATTTAATTATCTAATTTCCACCCATTAAAATATAATATATTGTGGGGATGGTTGAGAGTAGTACCATATTGCTTACTTAAAAAATTAATCCATTTAGAAAATTGTTTTGAAAGCAATGGGTACCAAAGATTCAAGGCATCAAGAATAGGGGAGTTGTGGCCTTCACATGGTATGCTAAAATCTTTTCAAATAAATGAAAGTTGTGGCCTTCACGAAAGTCATAATCTTGGGTATATTTGTTTTAATTTTTTTTCCTCCAATCCAAAATAGGCCTCTAGGTGAATCGATGGACCCACAATTTCAAAGTTGAAATCTTTCTATACATTGTTTCTTTTAATTTTTTTCCTCCAATCCAAAATAGGCCTCTAGGTGAATCGATGGACCCACAATTTCAAAGTTGAAATCTTTCTATACATTGTTATGGTGCCAACTCATATGATAAACCATTTCTGATTCCTTGGAACGGTGCAATTAAGGACTAATTAAGAAAACATTTTTTTGGTTAAATTCTGAAAATAGGTCTTTTTATTTTGTTTTTTTTGTTTAGTCCCCGTATTCTTGAAATGTGTATCTTCAGTCCGTGGGAGCATTTTGGAGAGTATATGTGAAGGGTCCCTATGATTTGCATGCCACTGACCAAAGGGTTAATGCAAGGTATGATTTGCATCGCCCTTAATCCAAGAAAAAAAATCAAAACTCATCATACTCTTAGAACCTGTTTTTATGAATTGCTATAATAGGGACTTTAATTTTCTATAAGAGATCAGATACAAAATCCACATTGAAACATGACTTCTAATCATTAATATTGATTTATTCTTTTTTTCCTTGTTTTATTGTGCTTCATGTTAGTTCGTGGATTGTTCCTAATTGTATTAATCTCTTGTCTTGGTACTTAACCCAATCATCATGGCCTTTTCCCTACCCTAACCTAAGTCCCGTTACACCTTGTTTAAAGACCCCTTTTAGTAGTAGAGACTTGATTGGATTCCAAGCCTGTGGTAATATTTTGGTTAGTTTCGGTTTGAGCAATTTTATTTACCCCAAACACTTTGAGTGGATATGTGTGAATCTTTGTAAGGTATTGGGTCATGTTTCATTAAAGTTCGAAATTAATTGGGATATCTTGCTTACTTTAAATTTTCTTAGTTGTGTCTTTATTGTAAATTGAATTCAGCAAATGTCATGGACTTACTTCGATTGGAAGTTTGAGAAATAAATTGAAATTGAAGATTACAACTTGTGATTTTGATGTGTTAATTGATGAATGCTTGAGGACAAGCACTGAATAAGTGAGGGGGAATTTGATAAGTGCTTTATTTGGTTAATATTTTGCTTTTAAATTGATAAGTGCTTTATTTGGTTAATATTTTGCTTTTAAATTGTTCCTTAATCATTGGTTTTTGTGTCTTATTTGTTCGTTTTAATTCATTTTCCGTGCAAGACACTGGATTCTAGAAATTACACTAAAAGGACGGAATTCTACAGTTTTTTTTTATTTTCGGAATCAAAGTTGGATTAGTGGGTATGAATTTGGACATGAAACATTTGACGTGGCGATGACGTCAACACCTTCTAGAAGGTCCAATCAGCGCTTCTAGAAGAACGAATGGATCAACCGCATGTTTCTGCAATTTAGATTTAAATTAAACTTATCTTTTAGGATATTATTTTAAATATTATATTTTTATCTTATCTTTGTTTTATGTATTTTAGTTTAAATAATTTTAAGTATTTTAATTAGGATTTAAGATATTATTTTATCTTATCTTTGTTTTAGATATTTATTTTAAATAGTTTTAAGTATTTTAATTAGGATTTATTTCTTTATTTTAGGAATTATCTTTAGCTTGTTTTTAGGATTTTGAAGGCTATAAATACCCTTTCAGGGTAAGCCTAGAAACATATCTCTCACATCTGAGAATTTAATCTTCTTATTCTCTCTAGCTTTATAAAATTCTCTCTATTTTCTTTCATTTTTACATACTTTTTTATTTTATTTTGAAGTTTCGTTTTCAAATATGCTAAGTATGACTTTGGTCATGCTTAGCTAATTTTCATTTAAGCCGAAGGTTAAAGTGAATGCTCAATTTCAAACGTGAGAATTATAAGACACTTAAATCGCTTCAGATTTTTCTCTCTATTTTCTTGGCTTATTTTTCAAATTGAAACGATTTTCAAAACCAAAAGTTGACGTTGGTCTGGATGTTGTTATGGTTAACGTGGGAACAAGGATCGACTTATTGAAGCACATTTGACTTCCTTTGAACACACTTAGCAAAATTATTTGCTAAGAGGAAACTGAGATCGGAATCAGTTATTGTTGAAACAACATAATCCGAGTCGGCAGCTTTTCAAACTTAACGTTTTAAGATCTACAACATTGTTGTTGCTTAGATCAACTCACAAACCAAAATTTAAGAGTGCACTTGGATAGTCGGTATACAAAGCATAGTCACAAGGAATTATCCTTGAAGACAAGTAGCCAACGTGAATCTTGAAGTAAAGATCTATTTCAATTATTCGAGGAATTTGAGACAAAACTGAGGTATGAGGCTGTTCTTACCATAAGTCTTTCTTATCTCAATTTATTTATTTTATTTATTTATTTGTTTATTTATTTATATTTAAACACTCCCCCTTCTTATCTTTATCATTATTATTTATTATTTTATCCTTATCTTCCTTTTAAAACAATTTATATTTAATTATTTATTTTATTACTTTATTCTTAGTTTTTTATCTTTATTTGAAATTATATCTTCTTCTAAATCAAAAGTCCACTAAATCAGAAACACCAGAGTCTCTGTGGATCGACATGCTTCTCTATACTACTCTCATTTTTTACAGTCGGAATTATTTTGATAGCAAAATGACAGTTATCAATTATACTGGGCAAGTTGAGACACAAAAAGAAGATTCTTCTTTGTGTTAGATATACGTAGTAAATTTTACAAGAATAAAGGCTAAAAATGAGTATTAAGAAATCCTGACCAACATGGAAAATTTTAGTACTGTCACCGTTGCCCAGAAGTAGTGAAGTGTTACATGTATGGGCTGCACTTGAATGAAGTTTGGCATGATCATTGGTGATATGGTGTGTGGAAGATGAGGCAGTAACGTGATTATAATCCGGTATTAGTGCTTCTTCCCTCTGTTATTGTGGCTGAACAACATTTGTTGAATAAATTTAATGTTTTGGATATCTTTTCCAGTTTCACTTTCATTGGCAGCATATCACTTCTGAACTGTATGTCTAACACCACCACACAGTCGACACTGTGGTCAATTGGAATAACAATCGAGTAACAATACTTTGAGTGCTTCCAAAGACAAGGGGATAGCTGACAGTAGGGGTCCAACAAAGTGTAGGTAGACGATCGCGCGGACGACAACGACAAAGTTGATGTTTTGGAATTAATATTTTAGGGGTTGTTTTAGATTTTTGAGAATTTTTTTAAAATATTAATAATTTTATTTTATTTTAAAATAAAATTTTCAAATATTTATAATTATACCACATGTCATTTTTTGAATAGTTATAGATTTTTTGACGGTTATGTAGACCAAACACTTAAAATATTAACAGAGAAAACGCTAGGCTAAACACCTATAGTGAATAAAAGATATAGTTTAGGCACTTATATTTTAATTAAGCCTAGGAAAATGAGAAGAAAAAAAAAAGAGGTCTTATACAGACGGAGGTGTGAAAATACTCCCAAAGATAGATCCCACAGAAACTAATTGAAAAACACAACTGTCTATAAAAAAAATGGCAAAAACGATGAGCAGGCGATTGGTAGACTTATACATTTACATGGTAATGCTGGGTGCACGGTTTCAAATTTTCTTTATTTCCATTGTTATCGACTTGGTATTGCGTTACTTGATTCTAGTTCGTATGGGCGCTTAACGAAAGATTATACAGTGAAACAAGGTGTAAGTACGTATGACTTAATATAGTCAGCTAACTCAAAATCCATGTTCTTGAACAGGAGGTTCTGCAGCTGACCAAAGACTCTTTCTCTAGTTCCATGTCCATTGTAATCGGTGCAAATGGCTACTTTTTTACTTCTTTATTTCACTATAAATAACCGAGTACCATCTTCGTTTGAGTTCAAGTTGTAAATCGAAAGTGTCCCTGAATTGCATTGTGGAAATGGAAACTTCAGTGAAGTACATGTGCGTTCTCGCGTTTCTTGTGTGTATGACCATTTCAGGGCTCAATGGAGTCGAGGGAACTGCTGGTTATTATGGTCCGTGTGGGAAACACGACATCGAGAAGGAGGCTGAGAAGTTGGAAGCATGTACGTACGCAGCACAGCATCGGAGAGTCCCGGTTTCCGAGCGTTGTTGCACTGTGATGGAGAAAAAGGTGAAGAATCCAGCATGCCTTTGTGCTGTTCTGTTTTCTCAAACAGCGTACAATGCGGGAGTGAGGCCGGAAATTGCAGTGACCATTCCGAAACGCTGCAACATTGTTGATCGCCCTGTTGGTTACCAGTGTGGAGGTACATTTCGCATTTCACATTACCTTTACTCCTTGTGTGGTGTTTGTTTCTATACTCTAATGAAGCTGTTGTTTATTTCTTACAGGTTTCACTCTTCCTTAACTCTGAAGATTCCCCATTGTGTGGCATCAGCAGTATAAGCATGCTGGATTCATTGTGATATCCAGCATGCTGGATTCATTGTGATATCCAGCATTTTAAGTTAAATAAAATCTGTTGATGTATCTTTCAATACCAAGTAAAAAGTGGCGTTGTTTCTTTGAATAATACTAAATAAAAGGTCCCTTCTCTTTGCAAAATGTGTGCTTCTTGGTTATCGTATCTTTTTTCCAAATCTATGCTGTGAATAGGCTAATAATTTCCTTAATCGACTACTTGCCTAAATCAACTACTTGATCTCGATCTGTCAATCCGAACATGAATTATATACAAAAAATGTCAAGCTCCTTGGGCGGTGATGTTCTCAATGGTTTTTTGGTAAACTTTGTGACAATTTTTTTTATCTTAAGTCCTCTTTTAGCCACATTCTTCATGTTATTTACGCTATTTGTTTCTAGTTAGTCATCATCTTTTTCATGAGTAGTGCTTTGTAACACCCTAAACTAATACGACACACAATCGACCAATTAGGATGCTACACGGAACCATCGAAGTGGCAGACCAAAATTTTTCTCATTTCTCTTATTTAAAAGCGACCATTTTACTAACCTTTTTCGTATTAAAATCAATCATAAATATAATTGAAAACTTTACATAGGGGAGCTCCCAAAATAATATTTACATTCAAAATATACAAACCAACTTAAAATAACTTTATGGCTCAACTTTACAACAAGGTTTATAAATATACATGCCCTTCAAAAACTTGAGACGTACTCTGATGTGCTCTTGATTTGGTCCTCGGTTGCTCTAAGGCTTCCTCGAATGCTCCACCTAATCTACGTAAGGAAACTAATTCCAAAACTAGCTCAATGCCACACTAACAACTAGAACATACTAAAATTGCATCACTTGATTGGTCTTTTGATTCAAATGGTTATTGTGAGCTTGCCTTTCATAATTTGCTTGAGTATGAAACGGGTTGGAGGAAAGTAAATCGAGCTCTTAACTAGTTTGATCAAAGTATACTTGAGGGCAAGTATGAGACAAGTTAGGGGAATTTGATGAGTGGTTGCAATTGACACTTTTTACTTGCCAATTCTCCTGCTTTATGAACTTTTTCAATACTGATTTGGTTGCATTTGGCTTATTTTTTGTGCAAATAACCTGTTTATTGGAATTGGAAGCAAAGGGCGCGTTCTGCAACTTTTTTATTTTCTGGTGGTGGCTGGAGGCATGGGCACGATGCGGGTCTGACGTGGTAGTTTCTAGAAGGTCTAGTTAGCACGAAGTTTCTAGAAGCAATCCAGTCATCATTATTGGAAGAGGATGGACGAAATTTTTAGTAGTCTAAATTTAAGTTTGAATTAAAAAACACTTGGATTTATCTTTTAAGATTTAGGATTATTTTCATTTTGAATTTCTTGTTATTTTTAGGATTTAGAAGCCTATAAATACCCTCCTTAGGGTATGGCTTAGATATCTCATATCTCTTTATCTTGAATTTTATCTTGTAATTTTCATTCTCTGTTTTATAAAGTTTCTTTTTTTTATTAGTCGAGAGCTAGCGATGACTCAATTCCATATGTGAGAATTGAAAAAGCATTAAAATACCTTCGAGTTTCATTCTCAATTTTTTGGAATCAAAGATCGACAATCGACCATATTTTTAAAATTAAAACGATTTCAAATAAAAAAGCCGACGTTGGTCTGGATGTTGTTTAATTTATAGTTGGGAGGAAGGATCGGCCTGTGCCATATTCGACTTCCTAAGAACACACTTTGCTGTGGTCCACTAAGGAAAATCGAGATCGGGTTCGATTCTCGAGAAGATAATATAATCCAAGTCGGGTCTTTCCAATACTTAATTCTTTTTGTTCTAACGACAATAGATGTGGTTAGTGCATTTAAGAATCGAGTTTCAGAGAGTGACTTGGGAAGGTCGGTTATTAGAGAGAAAGGCAAGTTATAATGGGTTGGCCTTCTGTAACCGACATGAATCTCGGAGCAAAAATCCATTTCGACGATCAAACGGAATTGAAACAAACTTTATTTACGTTTTAATTTTTTTACTTTGATTTTAATTTTAATTTTCTTTTTTCTTTCATCCCTCAATTGCGAAATGCCCCTTTCTAATTTATTTTTCTTGCAGTTGCATGGACAAAAATCGACAATAAATCGTATAAGGAATTTCTAAGTCCATGGGAATCGACCCTCTTTCACTATACTATATTTATTTCTATTTATTTTTATTTGAGAAGAAAATTTTGTTTTATTTTGACAAGTAAAACTACGTCTGTCAAAAAATCTTTCACAAAACATCCATAAAGATGAAACTAAAAAACTCGTTATTATACTGGGCAAGTTGAGACACAAAAAGAAGATTCTTCTTTATATTAGGAATACGTAGTAAATTTTACAAGAATAAAGGCTAAAAATGAGTATTAAGGAAACCCTGACCAACATGGAAAATTCTAATACTGTCACCGTTGCCCACAAGTAGTGAAGTATTACATGTATAGGCTGCACTTGAATGAAGTTTGGCATGATCATTGGTGATATCACTACAGCAAAAGTGTTCTGTAACAGCATTTTTAGCGACGTTTTAAGGGAAAATGCCACAAAATATAAGCATGTCGCGGCGTTTACAATACAAAAGCCATAAAATGATACTTTAACGACGTTTTGTAAACAAACACCGTAATAGAGTGGTAATTTAGCGGCGTTTATAGGTCAAACGCCGTAATAGAGTTGTCTATAGTGGCATTTTTTCAACAAACGCCATAATAGAGTGGTAATTTAGCGGCTTTTTTATATAAACGCCGCGATAGTGTTGTTTATAGTGGCGTTTGTTCAACAAACGACGCTATAGAGAAGTAATTTAGCGGCGTTTATCAAATAAACGCCGTAATAGTATTGTTTATAGTGGCGTTTGTGCAAAAAATGCCGCAATAGAGTAATAATTTAGCAACTTTTGTCCTACAAACGCCGTAATATGTTGTTTATCATGGTGTTTTTATAAAAACGCCGCAAAAACATGTACTACAGTGGCGTTTGTTTAAAAATGCCGTAAAAGGGTCAATATATGCTCCACATTTTTCTCCTACCCAATCCCTAAAATCATTTTTAACAATGCATCCCTAAAAGGGATTTCTCTGGTACAATAACGACCCTTATACGATTCCAGCTGACGTTGTCTTCTGTATGTCCCGACGACCAAATTTGCCCTCTCACTAGCGAACAATTATCTCACGATTGCACCGTTTGATCCTTTCTCTCACTACTGAACTTTTTCATTTAGTTTTTTGTTGGTATTCTAAAAATGGGGAAAACCCAGAAAGCTAATGTAATGGAGAAATATAACAGCTTTCGAATAGGAAAAGAATATCTATACATATTGTTTTACTGGTTTACTGCTTGGGAGAAGTGTTTTTTTGCTTTCAAATAGAAAAATACTTGCTTTCGAATAGGAAAATAATAGCTTCTGAAAACGTGAATATCTATACGAAGAGCAGGTGTTGCATTTAGTAAGAGAAAATATAGTCGGAATGTCCACGTGGCGTCTTTGCTCTGACGATGGATCAAATTATCATTGGGAGGCTATCAGTCTGAACTTGCCGTCCAAACTTGATGATGACCCGAAAGGCCCTCCTATTGCAAAATACCCTTCCATGTGCAAATCAAACTAGAAGAGTTTGAAAAGAAAAATTCTGATTTGCATAATTTACTTTCAAAGGTCAATGATGATCATCAAAAGGAAATTGATGATCTTAAAGCTTCTTTTGCTAAAGTTGGATCAAAACGTTTTGAAAAAAGAGAAAATTCAAAAACCAACTTTGTTAGAAAAAGTTTTAGAAACTACAATCATAGAGGTCCCCGAAGAACCTCTAATGGAAAATTCGTTAGAAGTATATGGGTTCCTAAAGAACTCATTACTACTAAAGATAAGGATATCTTACACAAATGGATACCTAAGGGGACTAGGATTTTGGAAACTAATGAATATGGACCCAAAAGAATTTGGGTACCAAAAATAAAAAATTAATCTATGTTTGTAGGAAAAGGAGCATTGCTACAAGGCACGGGAAACAAACTCAAACTCATGGTACCTTGATAGTGGATGCTCAAGACACATGACCGGAGAAAAAAGTCTGTTCATAGAGCACAATGCCAAAAATGGAGGAGAGGTGACTTTTGGTGATAACTCAAAAGGTCACATTGAAGGTATAGACACTATAGGTAATATCTCTTCCATACAAATTAAGAATGTTTTATATGCGAATGGATTAAAGCATAATCTATTGAGTATTAGTCAATTGTGCGATAAAGGATTCAATGTCATGTTTGATATTAATGGTTGTAAAGTCATTGACATTGCATCTAATCGGATTATGCTTGTTGGTCATAGAATAGGAAACATTTAAATGGTGCATTTAGATTCCATAGATATGACTAATTTATGCCTAGTTGCTAAGGATGAGCATGATAGTTGGTTATGGCATAAGAGACTAGGACATGCTAGTATGAGTGTTTTGCAACGGTTAATTCAAGGAGATTTAATTCGAGGGTTGCCAAAACTAAAATTTGATAATAATAAAATATGTGATGCTTGTGCTAAAGGAAAACAAAAGCGAATTTCTTTTAAATCCATTAATGATGTATCAACTAGTAGAGTATTACAATTGATCCATATAGATCTTTTTGGGCCAACTAGGACTACTAGCTTGGGTGGAAAACAATATGCATTTGTCTTGGTATATCTCTATTCTAGATATACTTGGGTTCTATTTTTAAGTACTAAAGATGAAACATTATAACATTTTATCACTTTTTCAAAAATAATCCAAAACGAAAAAGGTTACTCTATCACTAGTGTTAGAAGTGATCATGGCACTGAATTTGAAAATCTTGGATTTACTAAATTTTGTAACTCTAATGGTATTAGCCATAATTTTTTCAGCACTTAGAACCCCTCAACAAAATGGAGTTGTTGAGAGGAAAAATCAAACTTTAGAAGAAATGGCTAGAACCATGCTTTGCGAAAATAATTTGCCAAAATATTTTTGGGCGGAAGCCACAAATACCGCTTGTTATGTTGTAAATCGAGTAATGATTAGGCCAATTTTAAAGAAAACTCCATATGAAATTTTCAAAAATAAAAAGCCTAACATTAGCTATTTTCATCCTTTTGGATGTAAAT